CGCGGCGGCCGGGAAGAAAGTTCCAGAGAGGAGGCGGCGCGGGAGCGGCAGCCGCTATTGTCTCGTGAAGGTGACCGCGGCGGAGTCGCCCTGGAAACCGAGGAGGCGAGGCCCGGCCTGCATGGCGCGCCTCGGAGGTCGGAAGCCACCCGGCTGGGAAGGGCCGCGTGCGAGCGCCTTTTGGGTGCGCGCGTCCCCGCTGCGCTGTGCAAGTTGGGGTGCGCCAGGGTGGGTGCTGCGCGGAGCTCTCCCCGGGTCCTGGGCTCTGGCTTTATTTCCGCGTGAGGTTTACCTGTGCAGAGCTCGTGCCCTGTCTCCAGACGGCGCCGTTCTCCCTCGTCCTGTCTTCTAAGCCCGTGGCTGGAACCGCATGGCTGCTTTTGTTTTGGTTTCCGGGCCCAGGCCAGGGGGTTGGACCGACCTCCCACGTGAGACACAAGCGCTCTGCCGCCTTAGCCACATCCTTCTTTGTATTCTTTGTTTTTGTTGTTTTCCAGACGGGAGTTTCTCTGTGTAACCGTCTTGTAACCGTCTTGGCTGCCCTGGAACTCTCTTTGCAGGCCAGGCTGGCCTCGAACTCACAGAGATCCGCCTGCCTCTGCCTCCCAAGTGCTGGGAGTAAAGGCGTGCGCCCGGCTGCTTGCTTTTTCTTTTTTAAGACAGGATCTCACTATGTAAACCCTGGCTAAACCGGTTGTGGTGGTGCACACGTTTAATCCCAGCGCCTGGGAGGCAGAGGCAGGTGAATCTCTGAGTTCGAGGCCAGCCTGGTCTACATAGTAAACCCTGGCTGCTCTGGAACTCACTCTGTAGACCAGGCTAGCTTTGAACTCACAGAGATCCACCTGCCTCTGCCTCCCGAGCGCTGGGAGTAACGGCGTGCTCCACCACCGCCCGGTGTCTTCTTTTTGAGATAAGGATTGAACTTAAATTTGAGATCCTGCTGCCTCAGTATCCCCAATAACTAGGATTACTTGTCTGCCCCACCATTCCCAGCTAAATTCTGTATTCTCCTGCCCGTCTGACGGGTCTCTACTTCAGACACCAAAATGGCCACCGAGTGGCTCTCAGGAATGGCCTGTGCTCTACTCTGGCTTTAAGCCATGCACTGGAGGACAGATGCCTCATGAAGTCATTTTCCATACCTCCATACAACAGGTGAAACGTAGTGTTTCAAGGAAAATGTTCCTGAAATGTCATGGAACGAGCAAAGGACTTTGGAAATGTCTAGAAAGGCATATAGGAGTCCCTGTAGCTAAGGGACCTCAATAAGAGAGATGGGATTCCTACCTAGAGTTCATTTCTTTTTAAGATTGCAACCTCTCTGGTCTCCCAAGAGCTCATACAAACATCTACGTTTCCTGCTACACTCAGGAGGCCGGATTTAGTTTTGAGGATGGCAAAATACCACAACCTTAAAAAAAATAAAATAAAAAACACCACAACCTTACTCCAGGCCAGGGTAAAACAGAGAGGCTTATTTGGCTACATTGGGATCCACCTATCTATGGAGACCCTTGGGCTCCACTGTGTGACTTTTCCCAGGGAGTCTTATTACTATTTCCACAGAGTACTAACAAACCAAAGAAATGATAATTGCGCCCAAACCCAATATGGTGAACAAACGAGTTTATTGGGGTTCCTTACCAGAGCGTAGGTGACCCAGACAACTACACCACAGAAGATCCTCCCTCTTCCAGCGGTTACCAACTGCTCACCTGCCTTCAGACAGGGTGGGGCCTTGTGAACCTCACTCCTTCCACAAGTAAATACTAACTGGTCGGATCTCCTGAGACAGTGGCCGTCACATCCAGCTCAGAGGAAACAGGCACACAGCAGGCCCTGATGCGTCCTCTATTGAGATTCCCTGCTCACATTCCCTCTTGAGGCACTCCATGAATGCTTTGTCGTCCTTCATCAACACATCCTGCCCCATAGGGGTCATGCTTAAAACTGCCTTAACACTGTTGTTGAATGAGTCTGTGTAAGATGAAAGGATGGTATACATATCTGTGATTTCCATTGTTATTCCTATTCTCCAGATAACTTGCTTGTATATTGAAGAGTTAGTTACATAAGCACAAATCCCAGCCAAAGGGCCTTTGCCCAAAGCCAGACTTTCTCTGGGTTCCAGGAAGTTAGAATTGGATTTCAGGTCATTGTAAACTTGCCCAGAAAGCAGGCCACAGGTACAAAGGGCCTCCCTCAAACAATGATTATCACTCTTGAAATACTCAGATGAGGCTCGAGTGGTCTCTTGTTTGGCTCCTGGGAAGCCAGGCAAGGGCTTCCTGTTCCACAGGATTAGAGGAGTTGAACTGCCTTCCCAGGACCTGCACAAAGAGGTCCCCAGCAGAGGTAGAGAGTGAAAAGTTTCTGCACCCCAGATAAGCCTCTCCACCAATGAATCAATCCAAATCGGACCGAATTAGAAAAAGCCCCGGTTTAATGGGTAAAGTGTTCCTGGGTGATTCTCCTCCACCACCACCCCAAGAAGAGATGGGGACAAGAGACCAAAAAAATCATGTGTCTGATTTCTGGGGGGCAGTTTAAATACCCTGTGGGAGTGGTCTTTAGCATCCCTGGAGGAGGAGCCATGGACTTTCTGAGGGGCAGGG